CAAGTGGGAAGCGATAAGGCAGAGACAGACTTTGAAATCTCTCTGTTGAATAATCAAAACTTAGTAATGAATCACTACGAGGAACAATCCAATAACTATTTCCCTTCACAGACACGCCACGATGACCTGGTCTTAAGCACCCATCGGTTAAACCAAGAACCCTCCATGAATCAGAGGTAAAGTCATAGATTTCATACTTGTAGCTTACGGCACGATTCAAGCCACGGTTCATCCTCAAGATTTTGTACCTCAAGATTTTGTATCTCTTGCAGGAAGAACTGTTGTCGTAACCCAGGGCATAGCAATCGGTCCCCTTGTAGCTGTCTCTTGGTTGGATCCACTTGGTTTCACCTGAACATGGATTCCGAACCACGAGTCTCTTGTCCTCGGTGGTGCATAGCAATAAGCCGTTGCAGTGAAAGACGTTACGTACATCGGCTTGTGAGGAATTAGAATTACAAAGTGGATCTTTAAGGTTGAATTCATATGCTACCTTAACAGATGGAGCAACGTTGTTGTGAAATCCCTTGAGATTGATCTTTACTAAGCAAACCCTATAATCAATCAACATGATACTCAGAGACTCATCCTTTGGTGCATTAGCTGAGTGTTTCTTAGCACAGTTCCTAGATTTAGATAGAGTGTTCCATTGTTTCGATGTTGATCGAAATCGTGCCACAGTAGTTAATTTGTGTAACTTGTTTTTCTCTTTTGACGCTAGTTTTTGGATTCTATCACATTGAGTAGATAAAAACATAATATGATAAGATCTTGTGTGATGCAAACCAAGATTTAAAGAGAGGCCATTAGTTTCATAAAATTAATTTACGCAAAATCCTCAAAGATTAAAAAAAAAAGTAATCTGACTTACCCAACACTATTATATGTTGTTGACATGCAACAACTAAGTTTTGTGGATGCTGATTCAATTTCGTTCCGGTGGAGATCGTAGTAGGCATCCGTTTCTTATTCATCTACATATTAGCGATTTTCGAAAAACATTTTGTGAATTACAACAAGCGTGAGGATGTTCTTCTTTGTTATCTTTGTTTGTCTTTACATTGGATACGTATATATATACAAACTTCGCTGGTTTCTTCTTGTCAAATTGATAAAATTTGTTTTTGAAAATTTTGGTTACACTCGATTTGATAAATTGTTGAAATTTTGGTTCACCGGTTTGGTAAATATATTTTTGAAATCTTGGTTCAATGTGTTTCGATTTGGTAAGTTATAGAATCTAAGATATAGAAAACACAAAACCACACTTCCAAACGCAATCTAAGTAGGGGTTATTGGTTCTTGTATTTTGGTGGATTTATAAATCTTTTTTGTATTTGATAAATTTATTGATTTCAAAATCAGCAAAATGGAAAAAAATCAAACCCACTCAAATACCAAGGTTAGACCTTGTATTTGGGTCTTTGTATTTTAGTCATAAAAATCCTTCCAAATCCATTCAAATTCAATTAAAACTCAAATCCTTATAATATTTAGATTCTAAAATGATAGAACCAATAACACTGTATTTCATTATGGATTTTAAAATCATAGAACCAATAACACTGTATTTCAATATAAATTTTAAAATACAAGAACCAATAACACTGAATTTGGTTTGGATTCTCAAATCCATTAAAATACAAGAACCAATAACATCTCCTAAGACACAAAACAAAAGAAACAGAACACGAAGCTAACACACTTAAACAGAACACAAACACAAACACAAAAAAAAAATAGAAAAGAAAAAAACAACTCAATGCACGCTCAACCGCACAACAGAATTCTAACACAAACAGCAAAACTCAAACACTGTAAACAAAAAACTTCGTGCAGAGATGTCCCACCATTGATCCATCATCATCCATCCATCACTTGTACATCATGTTCGAGACCGAGTGGAGTAGATATAGAACTTGCAAAAAAGGAAACGGTTAATTACAAACCTTTTTTTTTTGGGTCAACAATAACAAACTTTTAATACTATACATTTATTTCAATATTAATTCTTTTGTAGTTGTACATTGAATGACATCAAGCCAAATCAAAACCTCCACGCCCACTCAAACGAGAACCACTCGTCTTACCAAACTCTCTCCTAAACAACCAAACTATTGCAAAATTTGAAACAAGATGATCCTTTTGGTGCCTTAAGCCCAATTGTCTCTCCGAGTTTCACTTCCATGTCTGTTTCTGTAGGAATACCATCTACATGCTTCTTTAGTATCACTTTCTTGTTTTCAACCACTGAAACTTCTTCTTCCATTCTAGTATAAATAATGTTTGCAAACCAAGTGATTGATTTGTATAATTTATCCACTCTAGTATAAATAATGGTATATATATCCCAGTTTTAGATTGATTAAAGAAGTTGATATGTAAACCGTAAACGTGAATATATATATATACATATGGGTTATAGTCACTTGAATCTATGATTCCTTTTTGAGGCTTGAGGAATCATCGATATGAAACTAAATACATAAATGAAACCCTTAAATCTGAGGCTTGAGCCCTCGGGATGTATAGTGAAAGTTAAATATAAAAAAATCAGACAACAAAGACCTAATTAAGTTCCAAATAAAACAAGGAAAAAAAGACAATTACAAATCACATGCTTTGCGGTTTGCAGTTTGCGATTTGAGCCAAACTTGGAACATAGTTCAGAAGAAGTGGGTGAGATGGTCCTATATCAAACTGTCGATCTTGAGGATCCACTTTTATGTGTTTCCTTCTTCCCAAAATGTTTTTAAGACTTTGTTGTGTACCGAGTAATACTGACAATACACTAGAGCTTCGTTCTTCTCGTCGGCCAAGAAGGTCAACCCACCACAAAAGTCTCTCACAGGCTTGGGTCTCACTTCGAGGAACTTTCTCCATGACTCGGCTGATCCGGGACTAGTTGTCACCCATACATTATATTCATCATAATTTAAAAGTGAGCCTAGCAGACAAAGTTGCTCTTCTCTAGCCACTGATAAATCCGCAGAACCAAGTTGGAAATGATGAGGCAGATTCAGACTTTGAAATCTCTCTGTTGAATAATCAAAACTTAGTAATGAATCACTACGAGGAATCCAATAACTGTTTCCCTTGACAGACACGCCACCATAACCTGATCCTAAGTACTGATCGGTAAAACTAAGAACTCTCCATGAATCAGAGGTAAAGTCATAAATTTCATACTCAGTGAAGCTTACGGTACAGTTGGAGCCACGGACCATCCTCAAGATTTTGTATCTCTTGCAGGAACAACTGTTGTCGTAACCAAGGGCATAGCCATCGTTCTCCGTGTAGAAGTTTCTTGGTTGGATCCACTTGGTTTCCCCAGAACATGGATTCCAAACCACGAGTCTCTTCTTGTCTATCGTGGTGCATAGCAACAAGCCGTCGCAGAGAAAGACACGATATATATCGACTTGTGAAAAATTAGAAAGTGGATCTTTAAGATTGAATTCATATGCTACCTTAACAGATGGAGCAACGTTGTTGTGAAATCCCTGGAGATTGATCTTTACTAAGCAAACCCTATAATCAATCAACATGATACCCCTTTTGGTGCATTAGCTGAGTGTTTCTTAGCGAAGCTCCTAGATTTCAATAGAGCGTTCCACTGTTTAGATGTTGATCGGAATCGTGCTACAGATTTAGTCGGAACCCTAGAGAGTATCTCTTCTATCAAATCCCATGGAAGGTTTATCCTCTCCATGGAAACTCTGATTGAATAACTCCAAGCGACAAGCTAGAAATACCTAATCCCCTAGTTATACTATCTCTTGGTTTTCTATTTTTTTTTTTAAAATTGAACTAAGAAAAACAATTTAACATATTTGCCCCAATAAGTATCTAATAATGCAAATACGATATTGCAAGAGTTCCTAACTTCTAGAACTTTAGGCAACGGGTTTAAATAATAATTGAAAAATATATTAGAAACTTGTATACATAGTTGCTAGGTCCATGTAGTTAATTTGTATAACTTGTTTTTCTCTTTTGACGCTAGTTTTTGGATTCTATTACAATGAGTAGGTCAAAAAAAAAACATAAAGCGATTATACGATAAGATCTTGTGTGATGCAAACCAAGATTTAAAAAGAGACCATTTAGTTTCATAAAATTAATTCACGCAAAATCCTCAAAGATAAACAAAAAATAAGTCAACCTTTCTGAGAGAACTCTGTAATCAGATTCAATATCTACAAAAGAAATGTAATTTCTTGTGACACTAAACTGCATAACAAGATCGTCTTTTTTTTTGCATAATTAAATCCATCGTTCTTGTTATCTACATCAGGAAAGGAGAGAAGACGAGAGCACTGAACAGTGTGGAGTGTATAGGTTTTTTGATATAGAAAACACAAAAACAAAAGAAACATAACACAAAGCTAACACACTCAAACAGAACACAGACACAAAAAAGAAAAGAAAAAACAACTCAATGCACGCTCAACCACACAGCAGAACTCTAATACAACCAGCAAAACTCAAACACTGTAAACAAAAAACTTCATACGTACCCCCCACGAACATGAACACAAATATCACTTACTTTTGAAGCATCTGCCTTTTTACGTGATTGATCATTCATCAGCAATCAGACATTTTATTGAGTTTTGGATTTGATTTTAGTATATTTTGCTGTTTCATGTGCCACTACTATGCCAAGCGGAATATCTATTAGACTAGAGATGAAGATGGCTTCATGTATACTACGAGGTACTATTTGGTTGTTGAGTGGTCTTGTAGAAGTGAAAAGGAGACGGTTTATGTCCATTTTGGAGCTAATGCCTAATTCTTACCTTCGTGCAGAGATGTCTCACCATTGATCCATCTCATATACATCATGTTCGAGACCGAGTGGAGTAGAAATAGAACCTTGCAAAAAAGGAAACGTTTAATAACAAACTTTTTTTTTTTTTTGGTCTACAATAACAAACTTTTAATACTATACATTTATTTCAATATTAATTCTTTTGTAGTTGTACATTGAATGACATCAAACCAAACCAAAACCTCCACGCCCACTCAAACGAGAACCACTCGTCTTACCAAACTCTCTCCTAAACAACCAAACTATTGCAAAATTTGAAATCTATCTTCTTCTTCTTCTTCTCCATCACAAACACGAATTTACAAACAAAAAAAAAGAAATGGAAGAAGAAGAAGTTTCAGTGGTTGAAAACAAGAAAGTGATACTAAAGAAGTATGTAGATGGTATTCCTACAGAAACAGACATGGAAGTGAAACTCGGAGAGACAATTGGGCTTAAGGCACCAAAAGGATCATCTTGTTTCATCGTTAAAAATCTATACTTGTCTTGTGATCCTTACATGAGAGGTCGTATGCGCGATTTTCACGGTTCCTACCTCCCGCCTTTTGTTCCTGGTCAAGTATATGTTTACACAAACTCGACTTCACCCAATTTTTTGATTCCATTATTGTCTTCTTTCGTAGGTATTACTCGTGATTGAGGATGAATAGATACAGGATGTTTTTGTGTGATAGAGAGATTCTTGCAGACCATGTGTTCGATCTTTTGTCTGAACTAGTGAATGTAGACAACCTAGATTTCATTCAAATCTTTTCGGACCAAGTGTTCAACGTTTTGTAGGAATTAATGAATGTATACAAATCTACAATGTGAATTCATTACTCTTAACATGTTTGATGACAGATAGTTTCTTATGATCTTGATGCAGCGTATGGAAGGGTTTGGTGTAGCAAAGGTGATAGATTCGGATGACTCTAACTATAAGCCCGGCGACATAATCTGCGGGATTACAGGTTGGGAAGAATACAGTCTCCTTCATAGCTCAAATGAGCTGAGAAAGATTCAGTTAGACGACGATGACATTCCACTTTCTTACCATCTTGGACTTCTTGGTACGACTCAAAGCATATGTTTAGCAAAATCAAGAATCAATCATTTTTTGTTTGATCTAAACAGTTTGAATTCACAATTATCCATTCCCTAGAGTTTTTATGATTTGATTTGTTGTTGTGTAAGTTCCTGATTTGGATTACTTTTTACAGGGATGGCTGGATTTACAGCATATGCAGGGTTTTACGAAATTTGCTCTCCGAAGAAAGGGGAATGTGTATTTGTTTCTGCAGCTTCAGGAGCTGTAGGACAACTGGTTGGTCAGCTTGCTAAGTTACACGGCTGCTATGTCGTTGGGAGTGCCGGTAGTAATCAAAAGGTTTATTATTGATTAGTCTCTCTAATCATAATTTCAACAGCTGTTCTAGTCACATGTTATCGTCTTTTAGAATAGGATGATAGAATCTGTAACATGTTTCAGGTTGATCTTCTTAAAAACAAGCTTGGGTTTGATGAAGCCTTTAACTACAAGGAAGAAACTGATCTTGATGCTGCTTTGAAGAGGTGAGCTATATTTTAAGATTAGTGTTTCTTAATTGGTTTTGCTCATATGTGACTGAAAACTGTTTTAGTGTACTTGCTCTGTCTCGTATGAAGCAAGTTATCATCTTATATGATATTCTATCCCAACTATTCAGTGATTATGCGATTTTGATTTCCATTTTAGTCTCCGAGCTAGCTTTAGGAGATGAGACAACATAACTTTTGCAACCATTAGCTCAAATGTTTCATCTTTACTAATAGGTATTTCCCTGAGGGAATCAGTATCTACTTTGACAACGTTGGAGGATCCATGCTTGATGCAGCGCTCCTAAACATGAAAGTCCGTGGAAGAATCGCGCTCTGTGGAATGGTGTCTCTGCAAAGCCTTTCGAGCTCATCGCAAGGAATCAACAACTTGTACAATGCGATCCCTAAACGCGTTAGATTAGAAGGGTTCTTGCAGAGCGATTACCTCCATGTTTTCCCACAGTTTCTTCAACATGTTAAAGGATACTACAAGGATGGTAAGATTGTGTACATTGAAGATATGTGTGAAGGCCTCGAGCTCGCTCCCGCTGCACTTGCCGGGCTGTTTTCCGGTAAAAATGTTGGTAAACAGGTTGTTTGTGTAGCTAAGGAGTGACTTGTTTCTAAAAGTATATTGTGATGTTATGAGTAAAGCCGTGTTATGTGTAAAAGTCTTGCTGGATCCGCTAATTAAGGAAGAGTGTCTCAACGAGACAGTCTCATTATTTAGATTTTAAGGAGCTTGTAATAGTGTTCACGCCGTAATTGGATAAAGTTAATTTGTATAACTTATTAGCTATGAACATGTAGCTATAACTTATTAGTGTTCTCACGCGAAATCCTCAAAGATATATATAAAAAAAAAAAAAAAAAAAGACTATCGTTCTTGTTATCTACATCAGAAATATCTCCAACGTGATCTCAATTCTCCATGGCATTTTAATGAGTTCTTTGCTTCCAATATGAGACAGGAGCTTAGGGTTTAGACTTCCTTGGTGGAAAGAGTAACTATGATACCAACAAGATCAAGTAGTTATAGTTGTTAACAACCATGTTTTAAACTTGCCAAGAAAGTAATCTAAACCCATGACTCTGTTTTATCTGTTTCTTGCATCATAAACTTATGTTTCGGTGAATAGGGAAACATGTAAAGTTTGCAACTCTCGTTAATTCTTACAGAGAAACAGCTTAAAGTCGCCCACAATGTGTATTATTTTTCCCATACATGTACTCATCGCAACACAACACAACTCTGTTCTGCTCGTAGGCCAAGAAACTCGCCGATAAAATAATCGTAAAACAATCTCTCACTGTTAGTAACTCTCAGGTGCTTTCCTTTTGCGTAGTACACCACATTGTTGTATTTGAGCCAAACTTGGAACATAACTCTGAAGATCTGAGCAAGGTGACATGTCCGAATGTCCACCATCATGAGCCACTCGTACGTAACTATTATCGCCCACAATGCGTAGTTCTTTCCCATGCATGAACTCATCGCAGCACACCACAACTCTGTTCTGCTCGTAGACCAAGAAACTCGCCGATATAGAAATCGTAAAACAATCTCTCACTGTCATGAACTTGCTCCATGATCCCGTGCTGCTTCTCACCCATACATGTATCTCTGTCGACTGATAGACAGTGCCTAACAGAGAAAGCTGCTCTTCTCTAATCACTGATAAATCCGAAATTAAATAAGGAAAAGGATGAGGAAGAGACAGAGTTTGGAACTTCTCTGTTGTAAAATCAAAACTTTGTACGAAATAATCCCCTTCTTCAGTACTATCGAGGGCAATCCAATAGGTGATTCCCTTCACAGACACGCCACGACAACAACCTCCTTGCAAGGATCAACTCGAAGAATCAGGAAGAAGTCTCCACGAACCAGAGGTACTACAGTCATAGATTTCACACTCGTTCTGGAACCCGGTAAAATAATCCACCCTCAAGATTTTGTATCTCTTGCAGGAACAACAACTGCTTTCGTAGCCGAGTGCATAGACATCAGGTTCTTTGTACTTGTTACTTGGTTGGATCCACTCGGTTTCCCCAGAACATGGATTCCAAACCAAGAGTCTCTTGTCTCTGGTGGTGCATAGCAACAAGCCGTCGCAGTGAAAGACACGATATATATCGACTTGTGAAGACTCAGAAAGTGGATCTTTAAGGTTGTACTGATATGCTACCTTAACAGATGGAGCAACGTCGTTGTTGTGAAAGCCATGGAGACTGATCTTTACTAAGCAAACACTAGAATCAATCAACATGATACTCAAAGACTCCCCTTTTGGTGCATTAGCCGAGTGTTTCTTAGCAAATCTCCCAGATCTCAGTATAGCGTTCCACTGTTTCGATGTTGATCGGAATATTTGGCCGGAACCCTGGAAAGTATCTCCTCCACCAAATCCCCCGGAAGGCTTCCCTTCTGATAGATCACCATCGCATCGTTCTCAGCATTCTGTGGCACCTCCTCATCACTACTACTACCTGAACTAATTTCAATAGCAGAATCCATTCATAAGAGATCGAATCAGCCTGCGATTCAAGTATCAAATAAAGAGCTATCTACACCAGAACGTTCTACCCTAACATTGCCATTTAACGAAACAAACACTTGTATCTCGAAATTGATGCATCCTAAGCAACAAAAATCAACAACCACCATCACCATTATTCGACGAAACCCTTTCCAATGTAATCGGAAACTATTTTGAACCGCCCAGAAACCCAAAGACACGAAATCGAGCGGAGTAAAGCAGCAATGGCGGGATAATAGAATCAAAATACGGACTTCGATTTGTAAAAATCCGAATCGAAGAATAGTTTGAAAGTTTTGGGAGTGTACCAACTACCAAGGAAGAAGAATCGAGTTGGAGAAGAAGGAATCAACTGTTCATAGGGTTTTTCTCTCTCTGAGTGGACCGAAGAAATGTGTCACGACGGAAGCAATTTGGACGGAGGAAGAGGAAATGTGACTGGCCGAGTTTTTACACTTTGGTAATTTTACAGTGCTGAAACAAAGGTAAAAGAAAAAGATCATTTGCTCGGCCCAAGTTGACGCTTCTCGGCCCATGGTGTATTTCCACATACAGTAAGCAACTTTGCACAGACCGGTGTACTTGTCGGTATGATAGTTCTCTAGGTAATAGCTTATTGCACAAACTTATGTTTGATAGAAAGTACTTTTGGATAATAGTTTCTCTTTTTTAATGATCTAATCTGCTTTCGGTCAATTTGATAAAACAAGCAGAGGATTTGTATTCTTGATCTGAATAAAGTAGCGGATACATTCTGTCAAATTTTAACTGCAAGAACCTGCTGATGCAGGTACAAAAGAGACGTTCTCTCTCTCTTTCTTACTTGACAAGCCGGTTCTCTGATCTGACTTTGTTCTACATGATTCCTAAAAACAGAATCTAAGATAGAAACAACACAGAACACACTCAATCACAAAAACAAAAAACAAAAAACAAAACGCAAACACACAAAAAAACAACAACTCAATGCACGCTCAACCACACAACCAGCAAAACTCAAACACTATAAACAAAAACTTCATAGCCCCCACACGAACATTAACACAATCTCACTTACTTTTGAAGCATCTATTTTTTTTTTATACTGTGAATGATTATATTATTTATCAGCAATCAGACATTTTGTTGAATTTTGGATTTGATTTTAGTATTATTTTGCTGTTTCATGTGCCACTACAATGCCAAACGGAATATCTAGCTGACGAGAGTTGAAGATGGCTTCTTCATGTATATGAGGTATTGGATATTTAAGTGAATCCGTGCAACCGTTGACGAACTGTTGCAACTGCTTAAATGAACATTAGCAACCATTTAAATGAATTATTACAATTGTTGGAATTATGGTTACAACCTTCGGTAACTAATCATTGCAACTGTTGGGTTTATGGTTACAATCTTTGGTGACCAACCATTGTAACTGTTGGTGCTCAACCATTGCAACTATTGTGACCTTTTGAAGTGACCTTTGGTTTCCTATATAAGGAGTTGTGGGCAATGCCAAAAATACAATAACAAAACAGAAAGCAAACAGAAACAGACAAAATAAGAAAGAAAGAAAGAGAGAGTTTCACTATTCCAAAAGATCATACAAGATCTTTGGAAAAACACATATCAACACCAGAACTATAGTGTGACTCTTGTATCTTAGCCTAGAACAAGAGAATTTTTTGGTTGTCTTATCCTACAAGGGATTTCGTGTAACCCAAGGCTTGATAAGGGTCGAAATACTCTTTAAGGAAAGTGTCTTCGTGCACGATTCAATCATTATCCAAGTTCACAATTCATCATCCAGGTTACCAGAATCCAACAATCTTAAATAGTATTTTCTTGTGAACTATGACTAGCGTGTCTGTGCGAGAGATGACATCCAAGTTTGGAAAACTGGATAAGTTTGAGGGAGTAGATTTTCGAAGATGGCAAAAGAAGATGCATTTCCTCCTAACAACACTTAACATAGTGTATGTTCTAAGCATGCCAATGCCTACTGTGCCAGAGGATGCTGAGAACGAGTCTGTGGAGGAGACAAGGAAGCTACTTAAATGGGAAAACGATGATTACATATGCCATGGCCATATTCTAAACGGTATATCAGATCCACTCTTTGATGTTTATCAGAATGTTGAATCCGCAAAAGAGTTGTGGGGTGCATTAGAATCAAAGTACATGGCAGAGGATGCTTCTAGTAAGAAGTTCCTTGTGAGTAATTTTAATAATTACAAGATGTCTGATTCTAGACCGGTTATGGAGCAATATAATGAATTGCTTCGCATCTTAGGGCAATTTGCCCAACACAACATGAAGATGGATGAATCCATCTCAGTGTCGAGTATCATCGACATGTTACCACCTTCATGGAAGGATTTTAAACACATGTTGAAACATAAAAAGGAAGAGTTGTCACTTGTACAACTTGGCAGCCATTTGCGCATAGAGGAATCTCTAAGAGCGCAAGAGGGAGAAAAACCCAAGGAGGCTGGATATTCTTCCATCAATATGATGGAGGTAAATGGGAGTTCTAAGATGAATAATAAAGGGAAGAAACGCCCCTTTAATAACAACACTAACTATAGAACTAACAAAAAGCTCAAGAGTGTTTGTTGGAATTGTAAGAAGCCTGGTCACTTAAGACATGACTGTCGGGCAGGAAAGGATAAGAATATAATGGGACAAAACCGTTTGGGGCAAGGGTCTAAGGACCAAGGCCCATCCACTCATCAAGGTCAGATCTCTGCTTTTGATTCATATTCTAATGTGAACTATGTATCAAAGATTTCTGAGGCATTTTATGTGCAGGATGATGAAGTGACGTGGTGGATTGACTCGGGCGCAACAACACATGTTTGCAAAGATCGTGGATGGTTCAAGACATATGAACCTGTACAAGATGGATCTATTCTTCATATGGGAAACGAGTCAACTGCCCCTATCCTAGGTTGTGGAAAAGTGATGTTGGAATTTAGTTCTGGGAAAACTATTAATATTGAAAATGTACTTTATGTACCCGGAATTAGGAAAAACTTAGTCTCCAATAGTGTTTTATATAAGTGTGGTTACAAACAAGTGTATGAATCCGATAAGTATGTCTTATCGAAGTGTGGTGTATTTGTTGGATTTGATATTTCTGTAATGGCATGTTTATGCTTAATATTAATAAAGTTATCAATTCTATTTATATTGAAAGTTCTAGTAAAAATGATACTTCTCTATGGCACGCTAGATTAGGTCATGTACATTATAAGCGTATGATTGATATGTCTAAAGAAGGATTAATTCCTACTTTTGACATGAATGAAGAAAAGTGTAGTA